CACCTTCGCCGCAGTACTGGCCTTCGTCAGTTTCAGCCGCTCCTCCAATGGAGTCATGCATGGCTTGCACTCAGCCATGCCGCTCCTCTCCAACAGCTTGGAGGCATACGCGCTCTGACCGAGCGTGAGTTCCTCCTTCCGCTATCTCACCTCAATGCCGAGGTAGTAGGAGAGTGCGCCGAGATCGCTCATTTGAAAACGAGCTGCCATCTCGTGCTTGAAGCTGTTGAGTCGACGTGTATGTGGATGACTTAATCGTCACCGGCACGCGCATGGAGGACATCTCAAGCTTGGCGTTCCATGCTCGAGGGGCTTGCCGTAGCCCGTAGAGCGCCTTGCGCAGTCGGAGCACCCTGTGCTCCTCTCCCTTGACGTCGAACCTAGAGGTTGCCTGACGAAGACCGTCTCCGTCAGCTCGCCATTGAGGAAGGCCGATTTAATGTCCAAGTGATGGACGCGCCAGTCCTTTGCTGCTGCCAAAGCAAGTAGCAAATGGACCGACTCCATGCGCGCTACTGGCGCAAAGACCTCCTCGAAGTCTATGCCCTCGCGCTGAACAAAGCCTCGGGCGACAAGGCGCGCCTTGTGTTTGACAATGGCGCCGAGCTCGTCCCGCTTGACTTTGTACATCCACTTCAGGCTGATCGGACGGCATCCTGGAGGTGGATCGACGAGCTGCCAAGTCTTGTTTTCCTCGATCGCCTTCATCTCCTCCAGCATCGTCCATCGCTAGTTTCCATCGCGCTAGTTTCCAACGTGGCTGGCTCCTCTGCACTGACGAGTAGCAGCTCTGTGTCGTTGAGCAGCCTACCTGCCAGACCTGAGGGACCTGTGCCACCGACGATGTCGTCCAGCCTGCGAAAAAACACCTCCTCACCTCCGTGGAAGGCATCCACGAACTCAGTGATGTCACTTGGAGGTGAGGCGAACTCGATCGGCGTCGATGGAGTTCCCTGTTCCGCCGGAGTGCTTGGCTTAGCACCTTGAGTGCTCTGCACTACTTCTAGACAGCTTGTCATAACTCCTGCAGTGTTCGGCCACACTGTAGGAGTGTCTTGCCTCAGTCTTAGAGTGGTCGACACCTCTGTAAGACATCTTGGCTCCGCTATGGGAGTGCTCGGCACCCGTCCTAGAGTGATCGCCACCACTGCAGAACCTCCTGACACCACTCCTGGCGTGCTCGGCATCCCTTCAGAAGTGCTCGGTACTCCTCTCGGAGTGCTCGGCATCCCTCCCGAAGTGCTCGGCACTGCCCTAGGAGTGCTCAGCTCTACCGCCGGAGTGCTCGGCACCTCTTCCCCAGCGTCTCCACCACCGTGGATGACCAAGTGCTCGACGATGAAGGTGTTGGTGAAGCTGTCGGCTTCCCCTGTGCTCAGACTGCTCCAGTCCCAAGCCGCCTCCTCGTCGAACACAACGTCACGCGAGACAAGCACCTTGTCTCCACGTGGGTCGTAGAGCCGGTATGCCTTGGTACCCTCCGCGTAGCCCAGGAACACCATGGGTGTGCTCCTGTCCTCCAGCTTGGTGAGGTTTGGCTTCATCTTCCTGACGTGGCCGATGCAGCCGAATGTCCAGAGGAAGGACACGCTCGGCTTGCGCCCATATCAAGCTTCGAACGACGTCTTGCCCGTCAGGGCCTTGGTCAGAGATCAGTTGAGGATGAACACCGCCGTGGTCACTACCTCACCTAGAACCTTGCCGGCATGCCTTTGGCCTTCATCATGGATCGGGCCATGTCGACCACCGTCTGGATCCGTCGCTCCACCACGCCATTCTATTGTGGCGAGTACGGCGCGGTGTGGTGTTGCCCCACACCCTGATCCACGCAGTACGCAGCAAACTCCACCGAAGTGAATTCGCCGCCGCGATCAGTTCTTAGCACCCGGAGCTTCTTGCCGCTCTTGGCCTCCGCGCACGTCTTGAACTTCTTGATCGCCACCATCACTTCGTCCTTGCTTGTTAGGAGTTGCAGCTACATGTAGCGACTACAATCATCCACGAGGAGGAGGAAGTACCGCCGACCACCGTTTGTAGCAGGCGTGATCGGCCCACAAAGGTCGTCGTGAACGAGCTCGAGAGCGTCTTTCGCGCGATACTTGGCCGCCTTTGGGAAAGGTAGCCTCCTCTGCTTCCTGGCCAGGCAGCTATTGCACAGCTCACCTCCATGCTTGATGTGGGGTAGCCCTCGGACCATCTTCTCCAGCCAACCAAGCGCGTCAAAGCTGAGATGTCCGAACCGGGCATGCCACATCCACGGTTTCTCGGAGTGCCTTGCCGCCAGGCACACCGGCTGCTCTACCTTCAGGTCGAGCAGGTACAACCGGTTCAGGGACCTCTTCACCTTGGCAAGAAGTCGCTGCTCTCGGTCCCTGATCCTAAGGACTCCGTCCTTGATTAGTACCTCGCTACCGCGCTCATCCAGCTGACCAAGGTTGATGATGCTGGAACGTAGCTACGGGATGTAATATACATCCGTTAGCGCACGATGCTCCCCGTTCTGGCATCTGAAGATAATGGTGCCGCGCCCTTGGATAGCCACCCTTGAGCCGTCACCAAACTTCACCGTACCTGTAACATCGCCGTCGAGCTCGGAGAAGGATGCCTTGGAGGCCGTCATGTGGTAACTAGCACCAGAGTCCAGATACCACCGCAGCTCCTGGTCGGCGCCCATGCGTCCAAGGTGAACTTGGGCGCGTGGTTCATCGAGGTTGACAGTCTTCAGGGCCTTCCTAGGTCCTTCCACCGTCGTCGCCTCTTCCTTCTCCTCGGCCTCGACGTTGTGTAGTGCACAGAACGTCGCCATCAGGATAGTGGCCTCATCCTCATCATCGGCTTGCGCCAAATGGGCATGAGCCTTCTTTTCCTGCTTGCGGTTTGGGCACTCTCGTGCCCAATGGCCCATCTTCCCGCAACGCCATCAGGCGTTGGGGTCGACCTGTTTCTTCTCCGAAGAAGCCTTACCGCGGCGCTTGCCATCTCCACCGCAGCTGGAGGAGGCTGCCTTCCAGGAGTTCCTCCGAGCAACCCACTCCTCTTCTGTCAGCAGGAGTTTCCCGCTGTCCTTCGTTGCTGTTGCCTGCTCTAGGCGCTCATCCACCGCCCGCAGACGGCCTGTCACATCCTCAATGGTGAGGGTGGACAAGTCCAGCATCGTCTCTATGGAGAGAACGATCTGGATGTACTTTGCCGGCACGGAGTGGAGGTACTTGGAGACCGCCTCCTCTTCGTCGATGGTGACGCCGTGGCTCTTTAGCTTGCTGGTGAGCGTCTGCTGGCAGAGGGAGAAGTCCTCCACCGTTTCACCATCCTTGACTTGAGGTTGGCGTACTCCTACATCAGAAGCTGGGCTGTTGCCTTCTTTGCGCGGTCGAAACCGACGCGTATCGCCGCAATAGCCTCCCACGCCTCCTTAGCAGAGCTCTTCGCCCCCAGCGGCTCCCTGTACTCCGCCGGTACAGCAGCGAGGATAGCCTCCAACGCTAACATGTCATCTTCTTCAATGTCGGTGCCCTTGTCAATAGCATTCCAGAGCCGTCGGGCTCTGAGCTTGACCTTCATGGTCACCGACCACTCTCCATAGTTGGTGTGAGTCAGCGTCGGCCAACTGGTGCCGCTGACCTCCCGCACCGTGCGAACAATGACCTCCGGTCGTGGCTAGGCAGCCACAGCAGTGCCACTACTGTCGCACATCTCCGAACTGCCCGTCATCACCAGCGGTTAGTCTGGCGACGGCGCTTGTACGACTCCGATACCACTTGTTGGCCCACAAGATCACCGGCTCAGATGAGTGAACCACTCACCAGTCTTGCCGAGCACCCGCTAGTGTTGCCGAGCACCCACTAGCCGTGCCGACCACGAACAAGCGTTGTCCGTCCCCACACACTATGGCTAGAGCTAGAAGAAGAAGGGAGAACAGAGCATGCACGCACAATACAAGACACCAGCGTTGGGCGAAGCCCTGTCTGTGAGATGGCAAATATGAATTCTCTTTACTGAGTTACCGTGGTAGTCTATTTATACAACACTATCCATCTAGTCTTATTATAGCGCACATGTTGTAACAGTAACTAGATAACATACAGGGCTGACTCTGCGCCGGCCACTGCATGTGCCTACAGTGTTGCAAGTGAGCCGTGCGACGCCTACACCTGCAGCGGCTACAGTATCACAGCAGGGGGCCAATTCGGCGCCGCCTTCCCTTCCCTTGCTGTGTTCACACAAGGTAGCAGTAGATTAGCTAACAGAGCTTACCTGATCGACTAACCACATCAGGATCTTATAGGCCTGCATTGCGACCCAGTAATTTCGAAAGAATTTTGCGTGACTCATTTCACCAAAGTTCCTACAAGAATTCCTAAGTTCAACAAAGAGAAGGTAGTTTAATTTTATTCCTTACAATTTCAGGGGTCAGAATGAGCCGTGTTGTTACTGCAAGTGAAAGGTCTCTTCAGAAGCCTGTCTACCATCGCACCTTCTAAATTTAGCTTCTGCCTGGACACATGCTCTCTTCTGTGGTGCACCATTGGATTTGCACTGAGCTGCGCTTGCACGTCAGGAGAGAGACAATCTCCTGCTATGCACCCATCTCAATGCATATCCAGCTGTGCACGGTAGCAGAGCTAGCACGCTTGCAGCAACAACATTCTGAAAGCTGAAATTGTAAAGAATAAAATTAACTATCTTCTTCTCTAGTTGAACCTAGGAATTAATTTTTGTAGGAATTTTGGTGAGAGGAATCAAACAAAAATCTTGCAAATTCCCTGGGATTGTGTGCATATATAGCTATACCCTGATGGGGGTCCAATCAGTTCATAGTCTAAACCCTCACGGACTGCTCGAAGGACGCCCTGACCACTAGCGTCTCGGGGTGGCCGTCGCCGCAGGGCGCTGGCTACCTCTAGGAGGCCAATCGCCAACAAGCAGTGGCCCTCAGCATCACGAGGAGCTCGGGCGAGCTTCTTGTATACCTTCGGGTCGATCTCCACGACTCCACGTACTTACTTGGTGTCATTAATCCGGCGAGGCACGCCGATGCACGAATCCTCGGCCTCGACAACGACGTCGGTAGCCTCCCGGAGCAGCTCGAGCGCGGCGCCATAGCCATACAAAGAGTACCCGATCACGGAGCGTGCGGCGAGCGGTAGCGCGGAGCGCGTGATGAACCGCGCGAGTTCCGGCGGCGGCAGCTCGACCGACAAGTCGAGCGCCTCGAACCAGCTGAACAGTTCGGGCGTGCCCACGTGTGGTCGTCGGAGTGTTGCGGAGCGCCCCCACCCTGCTCGACGATGGTCTCCACGACGGCACGGCCGACTCGGCCTGAGCCCATCTTGCGGCCGAAGGCCCGGAACACGCCATGCACGGAAACACACCCAGCCGGTCCGCGTGCTCCGCCGGGCTATCCCAAGGCGCAGCAGCGTTGTAAGTGCATTTTGCTCGACGCGGCCGGTGTCCACTGGCGCGCGCGGCGAGGTGCAGCATCGCCGCGTCAAGCAGCCTCTCGGCTACCTTGCCGAGCCCGGCCGGGCGCCTCCCAGCGCAGCAGCGTGAAGCACGCGTATAGGAGCTGGACGAGGCCCGGGTTGTGACCAATGTTTTAAATCACCGGCTAAAGGGTTTAGCGGCACCATTACCAAACAGCTATAGCCGCTAATCGCCCGCTATATCGCCGCTACGGCGGTGCCCTGCTTTCCTTTTTTTTTCATTTTCGCAATTGTATTTCATATAAAAAATACTACCTTATCCCCTTCCGTGAAACAAGTCAATCTTTATCCGGTCAGCTGCTCGCAACCCATGGCCGCTCATTCCCATCTCACGCACCAGGCCACCAGTACCCAGCTTCCGGAGACCTCTGCCCTCCCCCAACTTCTCCAAATTGAACGCACCGTTGGATGCCATTCCTTGGTCTCGTCCCACAGCAGTGCATCTTGGTGACCAATTTCTTGCCAGGATGGAGTCCATACGAGCGGAGGCAGGGCGGCGGCCGGCAGATGCGTGGCCTCGGCTTAGAGGCAGGGTGCTAGACTGCTAGTATCAGGCCGCTTTGCTGGTGCTTCAGCGTGCCTCGAAGCCGACATCAAGCAGAGTGGTTGTTGCTGCAGCTCCGGACCTGGTGCGGCCCTGCCGCCCTGGGGATGGAGTTCCGGCAGCCACGGCGAACAGCGGGAAGGTCCCCGCTAGCTCCTGGTTTTGCTTCGACAGATGACAGGCAGAGACCAGTGAGGTGCGACGACGTTAGCGGCGCTAAATCATACCTTATTTAGCGGATTTCGCGGGCTATATCCGGCTATTAGGGCCTCTCATTCTTTAGCGCTAAAAGTCAACTATCCTAGCGGCAACCTTGTACAGCACCGGAGATTTAAAACTTTGGTTGTGACGCACCGTGGCGTCGTCCTTGGGTGACCACGTCGGCGCCCGGTGCGGCGCGTCGCTCATCGTTTCTCGTAGCTCGGCCGGACTGACGGCGATCTCGGACAGTATTGAGCCGACGAGGACGAGGCCTAGAGCCACGCCGCAGACCTTCTCTTGGATGTCCCTAAGGACAGCCATGTCCTCGTCTCTAAACCTTTGTGCGCCCATCATGAGATGCATGGAGGTGGGCGCGTCGAGGTTTCCTAGCTCGAAAACCCTCACCCCGTGCAGGCTGGGGAGCCGCCGAGGGGCAGGAGCTCCTTAATGGCGCAGCCATCCCACCAGTCCCTCTCGCTCTCGAGGTTGTCGACGACGACAAGGTAGGGTATGTCGCGGGTGAGCTCCTTCTTGATCTTTGCAATTGCTGCTCCCTCGACCTCGATCTCGTGGAGGCTTCTGTCCCGCTCTGTCATCGTCGTCTGTAAGAAATTGTCGCCGACTACGACGCCCAAGTGGTCTGTAAGACATCGTCGTCTCTAATGAGCTATAAGCTGGACTATCGACCATACTGTTTGGATCAGTTAGAGCTTTTTTTTAGCAGCTAATAACTTATCCTAATCTATCTAAACAGGGCCTATGCATTCAAGACTTTATTGTGCAAGCATCCAATGGGCAGATTAGTATATCACTAATATGAAGTTAGTTTTTTTTATGAGAAACGTCAGGGGGGGAACCCTAGTTCTATATGTATGCAATTTTGTTTACTAAAATGACAAGCTACATACGAGTAGAAAAATGATGAAAATATGGCAGAGAAATGAAAAGAAAAAAGAGAAAGCCAAGAATATTGTAGAGATTATTCTAGCTAAACGAACTAACTTTATTTTGCTCGATGCATAAGCAAGGCAAAAGTTTTGCTAAAGATTGCATGGATTAAAGATAAATTAATGCAATAATTCTTTCATTTTGTATACTTCATGTCTAGTTAAGTAAAGGGAAATCAACTAGAGACAGTTACAAACACATACCTTAGGGATGTAGATACCAGAAGAGATAATGTGAGATCCAATTCTAACAAACCCATAAATAATACGAAAATCCCTTCTTAAAATTCAAGTGTCGTTGTATGTATTTCCATGGTCTTCCTTTGATCACCCACTGTGCCTTCTTGAACTGCGCAAATGTTTACAGATACTTTAAGAGTTGTGGCTCATGGTTGTTAGCCAGAAAATACTAAGCTTAAAATTTTGGTTGCAAGCTTTTTAGGCTAATATACGTACAAATATTGTAGAACTAAGTAAATAGAAGGCATTCTTGAATTGACACAAGTATGGGGTTGTTTTTCTTATTGGCATGGGTTAATTTCTGCCCAAAAATTGGGCATTCATCCATCACAGACATATGCTGCATCAATGATGTGCATCTCCACTACCAATGGTACTAACCTTTGTGGCTACCATTAGTGCCTGTTGTTGTGAATGAGCAAAAGGGGACACATAATCGACACTTGATGGTGTGGTCGTGGGATAGTGAAGTTGAGACCAATGCATATTAGAGGTTCACCCATTTAAACCAGTGATCCCCACATCATGCAAAAATAACTTGAAAATTTGATTCCACTACCAACAGCTACAAAAATTTGTCTTCGTTCTGTTCAAGTTATTAGACCGAAGATGAAAGGATGAGATTGCATTGAAGAAAAAAGTTGTGTTTGGCAGTTTGGCCACAAAGTTCAATAAAATTGTCTTATGTACGCTTGTTGCAATTGTCCATGTTTATGCATGTGATTTTTTTTCTTAATTTAGGGTGCATTCATGATGAAAATCCAAAAAGGTACACTGATAAATTAATGTTTTAGTATTCATTTGATTGTCCATTTAGAGTTCACTCATTGACCCTTTTATCCCCACATGGCGCATATAACAAGGACTTATAAGTATATATTTTTTATGACTTATGAAGTTTGCCTTGAAGATTTGCACAATCAATGTTAAATGCATATTGGTTCTTATCTTTTATACACTTTATTAATAGATAAAAAGTATTAAATAGCTAATCCAAGTAGCTAGTTAGAAAGATATACCTCATATATGTGGATATTAGGAATCAACACCATGAGATAAGATTGATTCTAACAACTTCATAAGTCATAAAAATTTCTCCATAAAATTGGAGTCCCACATGATTTGGCCATAGCCTTCCTAAAACAACCGTACACCCCTAGCTGAACAATAAAAGAGTTAGCTACTTTTAGATTCACGAAACTTTGTAAGGATAAAACATAACAAACTTGATTTTTTTCCTAAATAACATGAAAATTTATCACTCATCTATTGAGGCTAAAATTTGTTAGCAAATTGGGAGAAATGAGTAATTGGAACAAATTATCAAAAGAACACATGCAAGAAGGATAGGTTCCTTAGAACATAGACAATACCTTAGCATAGATAGTCACATACTTCTTCTATCATATGACCCGATCTTGCTATCCTCTTTTGTATAGGTTGTCTCCAGCACTTGGGATGATATTCAATAGACAAATTCAAACCTGTTTAGCCTTCCAATTCATCATGTTACCAGAACATAAGATACATACAATTAATAATTTTATACCTATTTGGATATATAAATACATATTGAGTATTTCTGTTGCTCAACAAAACAAGTTGTTCACAAATCAATTCAATGTAATAGGGATTTATGATCATCTACAATGCACTCCATAGCCTAAATCTTGTCGTTCTACTTTTGATGAGCATACCTTCATATCCTAGCCTTATCCAAAAAGAGACTAGATAAAAAGTACAAATTTGCATGCTTTCCAATATAGGGAGCAGAGGAGAGAGGACTTGATTTGGCTCTCCTGCTTGGGAAAGGTTCACTAGCTACCCCTTCATCTTTGAAGCATGGTTTGCTTCAGTTAGCCTAACAAATCTCAATGATGTTCACTATGCCAGTAGATTGAATCGGTCCATCAAAGTCAATGCGCAACAATACCTAATTTGGTGATAGTATAGATTAAGGTTAGTCCACATCTCCCAAGCCGAGTCCAAGTTGCCTAAATAATAGCTTCCATCCTTCAAAATAAGCTCGCATGCCCAAATCAAGAGTCCCTATTAGAAATTGAGCCTGTTTACCTAACACATCACTATTTGGGAGATGAACTAAAGGGTGGAAATGAAAGCAATACAAAACAAGACAAGAATAGAGTGCACAAAACCAAAGAACAAAGGAAATATTGTATTTCATTGCTAGGAGAAGCAAGGAGAGTTGGATGAATCAATCATAGATATGTACATGTGCCTGGATCTCACCATCCTACTTTTAATGAACATATAGATCCAAGACAAATCAAAAGGGAACTAGATATAAAATCATTGATCTTTACCTATTGATTTACAATATAAATAAAGAACACAAAGGGGAATGAAAGTATAGAATTCTGATAGAACAATTTCACTCAATATTAATTGATCCTCACTACAAATCTATGTTTCTAGTGGAAATAGTTTGCATAGATGCTTGGTCCTAAAAAATAAAAACCAAAGACATTGAAACAAAAAGCATTTAGGTGTAACTTACATACGCGCAAGCCTTCATGGTGTACAACAGCGTTGCCAACCATTTTGGGGGCCATCATTGCCTTGCGCGTAATGCGATGCAGCCACACATGCTAGTTACAGATAGCCCAGAACCTCGTATCAAAGCATTCAATGTTGTGGCCAAGCCCATGAATTGAGTTGAAGCATTCGCAATTAGAGCCACCACACACACAAATCTAGATGTAGAGCCGCCGGGGGAGGAGGCCATGCGCCACTACCGGATCCGCCCTCTCCCGCCATGGCCTGCTAGATCCGATGGTGGAGGCCGCCACTAGGGGAGGAAGCTGCGCCCTCCACCGGATCCGCCCTCTCCCGACATGGCCGCCATATCTGATGGTGGAGGTCGCTGCTGGGGGAGAAGGTCGCGCGCCGCCACTGGATTCGTCGTAGCACCGACAATCCGGCCGCTCCACCACCAGATCCGGCCGCGCCACCAACGAATCCACCATTGGGAGCAGCAGGCGGCCACCGCTAGTCGTGCGAGCTCCACCTGCTGGGCTACGGGACACAAGATCCATCGCCTGGGATCCAGATCCACCGCCAGTCATGCAACGAGGGAGAGAGAGGGAGGGAGAGAGATAGGAGGGAGGGGAGGGGAGGCACGTCGGCACACTGCATGGGGGAAGAGGGGTCCGTTGCATGGGGAGGAGCGGCGCAAGCCGAGGGAGAGAGCTGAGAGAGAGGGGCTATGTGGACGAAACCCTAACTCCTCAATTTATATAAGCCTGGTAGAGAGTTGGATGTAGGCTTTGGCTGGGCCTCAGGAATATTTACATAGGCGGGCCTTCTAAGAGGTCCACCTCTGAAAATCGTCTTCATTTTTGGAGATGGACCTCTTAAGTGGCCTGCCTCTGTAAATTGATTTTAGGAGGCGGACACTTTTTGCCTACCTTCATAAATCGATTTTAGAGGCGGACAATTTCTGACCGCCTCCGTAAATAAAAGGTCTGCCTCCGTAAATGCATTTTGCGAGTCGGTTAGTTGTGACTGCCTCCGTAAATGAAAACGTTCGCCTCTGAAAATCCTTAGGCATTTTACGAGACAGATGGATTTTGTGACCACCGCCTCTGTTAATGTTTGAGAAGTGTGTTACAAAATCATTTTTGTAGTCATGATTGCCTTGTCACTCCTGGAGGTTACTGCATGGGAACCATGAGCCCTCAAAGGAGATTGTGAATGAGGGTCAGTTCGATCTTGTGAGAGGTTTTGTGCATACCTCACTAGAGTGGTGAAGTGCAACTCTAGTGCATCGAGGTTTTGGATGCTCATATTGCTTAACTGGCTCAAAATCCAAGTGCTTGTGGTGAAGAGCCAATCCGGTGTGATTGAAAGGCTTGATAGAGGAGCGGTTGCAATCTTTGAGTTTGCCTCAACATAGAGTTGAGATGTCTAGCCAATCACCGAGATGACGGTAAAAATTTTGGTGTCTCCATTGTGGTTTATATACTTGAGCTCATTTACTCGTGCAATTTATATTTAATTCATCTACTTTCCTCGAATCTATATCTCTTATAAAGCAAAACCCCACTACCATATTTTTCTGCAATTTTGTGAAGCCATGTCACACTAAGGGCCCCACTAAGCCACTAAGATCATCCGTTGAGTCTCAGCACCATCCATGCATTGGATATGTCCATCTCTTCCAACCGTCCAGCTTCTATCGAGCACACACCGGTCCCGCACCACCTCCACCCAGCAGCCCCAACCTATGAGAGGCTCCCTCGCTTCAGCTTCCGATGCCCCCATCATGCATCGCTACGTTACAACGCTGCAGACATGCAGTATCTTCACGATGCCAAGGAGGCGAACCGGCGGCATGCTCCCCCACAATCTATTGCTCAACACTGATGCATCTGAAACGGCTCCACAAT